ACTTAACCAATAATGATTAACCACTAATATAATTATTTATTGGTTAAGATTTTTATACTTAAATTTTACTGAGTTCTAATTTTTTTTAAGAATGTAGAACTATATACTTTATAAGTATATTATATACTGACATTGATCATGTAGCGCCCGGGAAATTGAAGAAGAAAAAAAAAAAGGAGAGGCCACGTCAGCAGCCACGTCAGCAGACCCAGTCAGCAGTCCCGGCCAACCGGGACCTGCCACGTGGCAAGACCACGTCGATCCGGGACTGGCCACGTTGGCGATCCGCATATGCGCGATCGGACGGCCCAGATGCAATCGCACGGACGGCCCAGATTCAATAAAAAACGGACGGCCCAGATTAAATCAAAATGGACGGCTGAGATCAAAAGGCAAAAGGGTATAAATAAGACCCCCACACCAGACCACAAAACCCTAGCCGCCTGCCCTCGCCGGAGAAGACGAACCAGAAGCCGGCCGCCGCCACCCGTCGCCGCACCGGAGAGATTTTCGACCGCCGATCGAGGTAAATTTCATACTCCCGACTCGTTTTTCCACGCTAATTTCCCCTGTGGCCAAATCGGAGCCAAAATCCCGGCCAAACGGCCGGAAAACACGGCCGAAACCCAGCGGCGCCGCCGCGCCCCTCCTCGATTTTTGCCTCCGATGAGGCCCTTCCCGGCCTCCGTTTAATGCAATTTTTATATCACCGTAATCACCATTCTTTTCTCTACAGGTTGATCGGAGCCGAATCACCAAAACACGAACTTCACCGGAGAGCCGCCGCACCCGAGAGCACCGCCGTCGGTAAGCTTCGGTTTTTCGTAATTTTTTGGCCCCCCGAGGGCCCTAGAGTTGTTTAATCGCAAGGATCGATGCAAGTGTGGCCGAATTCGGCCGGAAACGGAGATAAGCTCATATAATCCAATAAGGTTCTACCGAAAACGGCCAAACTGAGGCGAATCGCCGCCGCTTGCGGCGGCGTTGTCGCCGGAGCACGGCGGAGCCGCCGTGCCGGAATTGCGATATTGGCCAAAAAGGGGCCCTGGGCCTAATTTGGGATTTTTTTGGAACATGTGCAGGTACCAGTAGTGCGTTTCAGTTCCCTGGGAAAAATTCAGGAAAAATTAGGGACAGCCTGTAGGCGCACTGTGAAGCCGTGTTCGGACCCCAAAACGAGTAAGGACCCCTCACCGTATTTCCTATCACGGTATTAAAGTTCAATAAATGATAAAACAGTATTTCATGAATCAACGAATGTGTGAAATTGCTTAAGATCGCTAATGGAGCCCGAGTCTAGTGTGGTTGTCGGTTAATTGTTATTTACAATGTTTTACAATTTAAAAGCAGTATGAAGTTTGATGTTTTCATTTTATAGTTTCGTGTGCATATTTTATTGTTTTACCGATTATGGATTGAATGACTGGGATATTGATGCTGTATGTTTGTCTGTTTGGCATAAATTATTGTTTTGCTTGTTTGTATGTGGATTGATGATGCTGACTGAGGGAAAAGAGAATGATAGATTATGTAAATGGGTAATTGTATAATGAGGTCAGCCTGACTAGATATCCTGGGAGATGGTGGACGGACCGGGTCCGTAGGGAACCCTACCGGGATTGTGGTCTCCCATACCGGACGGGTATGGAGATCTTATGTGTTTTGGCGCCCAATACCGGACGGGGTATGGGGGACGACCCGTTTCACCCTCATACCCGGACGGGGGTAATGAGGTTTATAGTTTTGGCACCCATACCGGACGGGGTATGGGGACGGCCCTGGAATATGATTTCAAGTGTTAAGGGTTAACGGGTAGTGGGACCCCTATGGATCCCCATAGATACTAGTGGGCTGGTAAAAGAGGAAAAATATGTTGTGTAACGATTGAATTACAAAAGGTTTGATAAGTATTATGTTATACAGTTTATATATGATTTCATGATGATGATAATGTTATTACTTTCGTATACTGTTTTATGCATTCCATCGAGGTAAGTGGATGGTGAAGGATTTATTATTGATGAAAGAATTTGTTGTAAATTATGCTCCATTGGTCTTTTTGTGTTTTCTACCCACCTTTACCTCCGTGCCGGTGAGATATCGTGATGTCTTTACTTGGCTAGTGTAGCTCATTCCTTATTTAATTATTTTAGATCAAGATGACATCGTTCCCGAGCCGGTTCCGCAGGAGGACGACGAAGGGGACGCCTAAAGACTCCATAGTCATATTCGTAGCTTTTACTTTCAAGTTTCTCCTTTAGGTAGTTTGATCTTTTATATTTTGTGAGCACGTTTTTGGTTTTAGTATAAGGGATGTTATTCGAATTTTGACTTCGCTTCCGCATTTGATATTTTTAATATACATTTCATTTTAAATTTCCGGGGCTGTTACAGATCAATTTATAATGTTTAATTCTTTAATTCATTATTATATTGATAAAATTTGATGATCAAGCTGGGGGTTAGTCATCCGAATCATAATATATTCGGACGAGAAGAATATTTTATGACGGATTAAAAAATTGACATAGCTTTTTTTTTAAAAAAAAAAAAATCCACAATGATTAATCAAAATTTTAAAACAAAAATAATAGTTTAAAATGGACACTTTATACTATCTTTTAAAAAAATTAATCCTAATATCAAAACTATTTCAACAAAATAACATCAAACACTAAATTACAATTTGATCAAACTGTAGATTTCACAATAACTTAAATCGTTTTGAAAAAGAAAACTTTTGTAGTCAAATATTTTGGGATGATAAGATTTAAATTAAAAGACAAGTCTTCACCTTATAGTAATCAAATCAATAATGGAGATTTTAGAGAGTCTAAAGTAAAATCTTATTGGCATCAAATCAAAATATCGAAGCAGAATTTTAATCAGTTCATACAAAGTCAAGGTTTTGGGCAACCTGATAAAAACATCTTACCTTATCACATGGAGGAAGAAGGATATGTAATCATTCGCCCATCATTTATGGAAAAACATAAGGGATTATTCTCTTTATATTTCTAGTTTTTTCACCACTTAATTTTTAGTTAATTCTATATTTGCCACTTCCCATGTTCAATTTTATTACCATAACAAAATTAAGTTTGGTGTTTAAACTTAAATTCATAGAGAAAGAATAAAAATATGATACACTAATATAAAAATTAAATGTAACTAATGTTTCGTAGTAAAAATAAATAAAAAATTAATAATTAAAAAATAATGATATATGTATGATTGGTTGTTGGTACTTGAGTAAAGGAAGAAATTGGACCATCATTTATCTTCATCTTCATCTTCATCTTCACCACCTTATTTTCAAAGAAAGTGAAATTATAAGTCTACGCCCATCATCATGCTTTAGAATTTTGCTTTGGTTCTGTGAATCATTAGCCAAATTGATAATCATACCACCCACAAAAATTTAGGTTTATTTTTCATACCTATACCTACAATATATATATATATATATATATTAGATGGGTCGGAATTATTTTGTAAAAGGGTAGACATTATTATCTTATTTTTCAATAATTTATTCGAATACATTAATTTATATAGCTTACATTTTATATTATTTAGTATTAAAAAATAAATTTTATACGGGTTCTAAATTTATTACAAATCATAGCCAGCTGACAAAATTATTTTGTCTGAATTACTACAAACAGGGTAAAGGAACAGATTCATGTTTTCTTTTACTGTTTAAATGAACAGGTTTTTTTCTTTTTAGGGCTAAACGACAAATTGACTGCCGTCAATGGTTAAAGCCTCTGCTTTTTTTTTTTAATTTATTTTATTTGGGGGCGCATTTATAATATTTATCTTAAATTTTTTTTTTATCTATTTATAATTTTATAGATGAAATTTGAAATCCAATATATTTTTAATTAATTTTATTATTTTATATATAAAATTTTGAATCAATCAATTCGGTCAATGAACTGGGTTTCCTGAATAATTTAATTACACACCATGTTAAGATATTTTATTCTTCGAAAAGTATTTAATAGAAAAATATTATGAAAAGTTCAAACTTATAATTATTACTTTTATTTATAAACGAAAAATGGGTCAAAATCAATTTACCAGCCTAAAAAAATCAAGAAGGCTGTCTCCCATTTCATTATATATATCCGTATATGTATGGATGTATAAACTGTTTCTACATTAGGGTATTTCAGATTTGTCCCATATGTTACGAGGATATTCAAAATTAGTGAAGAAAAAGTTGGTTAAATATTAAAATCCACGGCAAATTAAGGCCTAAAAAGG